ATTTTTGGCGCTACTTCGTTAAAATTTGAAAAGCCGCAATCATCGTAAACCATTCACTCGGATGCCCACATCTTGACTCTAAATATATTCGCGTACAGAAACGTTCCCGAGAACCTCTCTATTGCTAGAGATTTATCGGCATGGAAAGTTTGTTCTACTAGGCCAGTAGCTAAGCAAGCTCCATCGCTGCACCACTCGCATGGAGACTGTTTGGAAACTCTCCTGTAATCTACAACATTCGATTGGAATATGCGAGCTCACATTTTCTCTGCTGCCGCGTAAAGGAACATTTAAGATGCTAACCGTATAACTCCGCACTCTTGAGCAGTCAGCTGAGATACGAAAAGGGGTCAGATTCTGCCCTACGAGCTTAGGTCACAGTGCACAATGCTTCGGAAGGGTCCTGGTTGAGCGCCAAGAATTTAAAAATAAATTGTAAAGGGAAGATGTTCATGTGTAATGTAGCTCGTTACAATGCTTTCTACAGAAGATGCTTCCATTAAAGCTTCACTTCCTAGGTGGTCGGTTATGGAATCTTCCTCTCCCACGGTTTTTGTTAACAGTTCTAAGGTAAGTACGACCTTCTGATTTCTGTCTGAGCCGATAAGTGATGGAATCCTTTTTTCAGGAGGGCATTGCGCGAGTCAAAGCTGGTAACTATGCATATATGATGGAATCCTCAATGCTTGAATATTACATGGAAAGAGATTGTCAGCTGCAGAGCATAGGTGGATTGCTAGATTCCAAGGTCGGGTTTGAAAATGTTAGTTAAACTTATTTTTGCCAATTTGTAAGGCTTCTGTGCAGGGCTACGGTATAGCGTTGCCTAAAGGCTCGCCATTGAGGGAGATTCTGTCTAGAACGGTGCTTCAGCTACAGGAAAGAACTATCCTGGAAGCGTTGAAAAGCAAATGGTGGCGTGACATGAGAGGTGGGTGCGGTATGTTGTGATCCTCATTGTTTTCGGAACCTACTCAATCCTTAAAATCGACTCGATCAATTTTTTTTCGATTTTAGAAGGTCCCTCCTGTGCTCCTCCACCAGAAACATCGCGAACTTCACCGCCGCAAAGTGTATTCGGTAATTATGACCGAACTGTAGTAGAACTCCAAGAGAGTATGTTTAAAGTGCTATTACTTTTCAGGAATATTTTACGTGCTTAGCACGGGACTAGTAATTGCTTTGATAATGGCCTTTGGAGAATATTGTATAGAATCGAGACATGACACTTTCCGCTTGAAACTTACTGTGCTAGGAAAGGTAAGTTTCAAACGTGGGATCTAGCACTGTCGCTGAGGGAACTAGTCACAAAATTTAGATCCGCGAATGGTGGCAAGGAAATTCCGGACCAGAAAAGGCTGAGAAAGCGAGAAACAAGCTTAGAAATATGCAATTAGATACAGCTGGTCAGCCACTTCCAAAGTGAGTTATGCTATGGAAACAGCTCTTTTCCTTTAGACGCAATAGGTAGACATCCGTATTTGCTAAGCTACAAGTCGCATTTTTAACCAAAACGTTTCTATAACGTTAATTTTGTCCAGGAAGCATATTTAGAGCTTCCATCCTATTTGAAACTGTGGCACAAAAAACCCTTTTGCCGTATCTTATAAGAATGCTGAAGTGGGCATGTTCGACAATGGAATAGATTTAAGATTCATTATCTCAAAATCATGCCATATCTCTACTTCTTTAAACGCTTTTAGGTACAAATATGTTCTTGTAATCACGTACCACACTTTCCTGTATTCATACTTTCTGACTACCATAGAGATGTCACAAGATAACAAAATTAGCAGATATTGCACTTACCTAGTTTTTAATTTAGGTTCTAAGTTATTAGAATATATGGAGAAAACGGACAACTCAATTGATTTTACCCTAATCTTTTGATTATTCATTTCTCACTGATTGTCTACAACTTAATCCAAAAGAATAAAAAACATAGAGGGCATATCAAGGGGGACTGATGAAAATTGCGTTAAGAAGCAATGTACAGGGGTCATCAAGTTGCAAGAAGCTCTATCTAGCTAGAGTCCCTGTAATATATAATTTCTTTATAAGTAGCTTTCTAACACGAAGTGTTCAAAAATGCGCTTACTGTTTCATTATAAATAACCATTTTTACAAGCCTTTATAGTTCAGTACAAAGGGCTGATGTGAACTCTAACTTTCACTACAAACGAATCTTGTACCTGTAAGCATTACGGTAGAATTACGATAAAGTTGTAAAGTGCGTGAAGCACTTTGGCATTGGCACGAAGATATTTCAGAAATGCTGGAAACGTCATTGCTGGGGACTTACTATGCTAAGTCCAAATATGATAGCATTCAATACCAGGTTTAAGGCGTTAAGTGCTTTACAGCAGTACAAAAGTTACCAACAAATTCAAAAAATCTAACGTTGAAAAGAATCCATTTGTAAGTGATGATCTAAGTTCGATCTAGCCCTTCAACATGACAATAAAGCCCAAATAATGAAAATAGGAGAGTATCGCAACCAAAGAGTGAGCAAATTTTTATGTGGGATCTTGTGTATCTTTGAGCATAAATCAACTTCTTCCACAACGCGACTGCACAAATAAGTAATATAGTCGCAAGCGCTCAATATCCTCTTAATTTGGTCAATAAAAAACCTTCCCTCAAAATCGAACATTAAACACAAGAAACGAAGAGAATAACCCATTTTGCGCACTATACCATCTGCTATAGCCTGCTGTATCTAGGAACTACAATACAATTTCATTATAATGCTGGTATCACAAAAAAGACCTGCTTGAAACTGCACAATAAAATTCCGAACATGGCTTCCTCCTAAATCAAACTTTGGATGAAGAGATCTAAAGAAACAGTAGAGGCCTTAGGTGTAATGAGTTTGAATAAGAGTAATCCACCGTATTCATGGCTTCACTTCCTTTCCGACTCGTTTACATGCTTGTAGTTTGTA